TTTTTATTTAATGTTTTATTTTGAAATATTTTTAGATTTACAGGAAACCTATTTAAAGTTTTATCGTGAAAGCTGACTCTTGAAAAGTGTAAATGATTTTCACCCAGACCTCTCAGCCTCTAAAATGAAGTTACAGGGCCTCAATTAATAGACAGATTTACAAAATGCATGCCTGTTTCAGATTGCTCCTTGCAGGTGTTTGTTTTAGAATATTTACAGGGCTTATGAAAGAATCACATCAGGGTGTGTGTGTGTGGTATGTGTGCATGTGTATGCATGTATGTGTGTATGTGTTTGTGTGTGAGTGCATGTGTATCTGTGTAATAAAGCATCCTGGTCAGGCAAGAGTGGCAATTCAGATATGCTGGGACATGTCTGGAACAGTTGTCACCTGTCTGGCACCCCCCTTCGTGTGCCCCAAACAGATAAGGCCTCCACTTGTCCCAGAGTGCTCAGGACGCACCAACAGCATCTGGACAGATGCTCTGCTTTGCCTGGCACTGGGATCAGCGTGAAAAACGTCCTCACCTCTGCCGCAGTTGAAATCTCGACAAACCTCAAAGGGAGAAACAAATAATTACATGGAGTCTGTCATCAGCTTAAACCTAGAGAAGTGTCTCACTATACAAGATACAGGTGGAAGGATATATTCATTCAGCCCAAGAAAACAGCAGCTAATGCTCTGTGACCCACCAGAATGAAACACAATTTCAGAAGAAAGAGGAATGTTATATTTGACAAAGTTTGGCAAATAATAATAATAACAATGGTAATAATTAAAAACAATCTCTAGTCAGCCTCAGTGTGTGTTCACGCGGGACACCTACCCTCTTAAACTACTTTTGTATCCACCTTTTAGAACATTCCTATCCAAGGAATCATTAGAAACTACAATTGTTGGCTTCACTCTATTTTTTGTTAAGGTTGCTTTTGAACTGTCTGTTTGCTTCGTGTCATTTAGTATTCAAATACTTGTTTAGTTAACACCTTTGTGGTGTATGTAGTTCTATTCTAAAGTAATGTTTAGTGTTGGTGTAACTGCTCATGTTATAATTTTCCCAACACGTTTCAGAGACCAAATAGAGAAAAATGCCATGCTGTACTCAAAAAATAAAAGAGAAATTTTTTAAATGGAAGCTCTTATGCATCTATTTTTTTAAATTAGCTTCAATTTCATTTTGGCATACCCTCATTAACTCCTCTTGTTCTTTGATATGATGTTCTTTGAATTTCCACTTGAGGATTCAACTGGGGCTCCAGGTTTGATGTACCATCCGGTTGTTTTCTGCTATTGACATAAAACAGTGATTTCTATGCAGGTTGTTATTTATTCACTGACTGATTCATTTAACAAGCACTTGTGAAAAGGTGACAAACGTCAGCATTTGCTCAGCATCAGACACCCCGACACACAAGGCCTTTCCTCAGTACGTGCCCACAGCGGGGACAGCTCTCTGGGGTCTCATCTCATAAGGACGCTAAGGACATTAATCCTATCAGATCGGGGCCTACTCCTATGACCTCATTTAACTTAATTACTTCCATAGCAGCCAATCCCTGAATACAGCGGTACTGAGGGTTAAGGCTTCAACATAAGAATTTGGTGGCGGGACACAAATATTTAGCCCGTAACAAAAGGAAAGTGCTCTTTATTTTATTAATAGTGTCCCCTTTACTGTAAGAATGTGCAATCTTATAGTCCAGAATAAAGCTGGGGGAGGACGTGGGTGTACCTATGCCCCTCACCTCAAGTCAGCCTCTCGTTTAGAATCTCCTTTATTTGGCGTGGCCTAGTGAAAAAACAGCTCAGTGTAAATTAATAGGGAATCATTTACGGTAATAGCCCAGGACGGTGTTGGACTTTCTTTGTGCCTTAGACCACTTGGGTCAGGAAAAATGTCAGGATACCCTAAATACAGCATACACAGGTTCCTTCTCCTCCTCTCCCCTCCCCTCTCCTCCCTTCCTCTCCCCTCCTCTCCCCTCCCCTGCCTCCTTCCCTCCTCTCCTCTCCTCCTCTCTCCTCTCCTCTTCTCTCCTCCCATCTCCTCTCCTCTCCTCTCCTCTCCTCTTTTCTTTCTCTGTAGTTCCAACTCCCAAAAATAATATTTACCCTTATCTGTCTACACAAATCTTTCCTATTCCCGATATCCAAATCATGTTTACAAATCTGATTTTCTACAAGTCAGTCAGTAGTGGGAACTGAGACCACCTCAGAGAATTCGCAGAGATGATTAATTCTGCGACAAGGTAAGAAGAATTAGATCGTCATTCGTTGCTTCAAGGGAGAAGCCACAGGCCAAACCCGGCTTGCTGTGGGAAGGAGGTGAGGGCAACAGTGAACTGGACTCAGTCATCTCCAAGCACCATCCAGCCCTGGGGCTCACGCAGCACTACGTTAGGCTCTGGGGTTGCAGGAAGGCAGGCCCTGATCTTGAGGCCTTCCTGTTTCCTGCAGGACCGTGGTAACTGCGCCCTAGACTGGGAAGCTGGTGGCCCTGCTGGTAATTGAGGAGCTCGTTTTATTTCCACTTGATAAATTTCACTCTTATTTCATTTCTAAGCTTATATTTTTCCTGGAGTATTTTTAAATTAGATTTTTCCTTCTCAAAAAAGAATTATTTTTAGTAAGTTACCTGCATACATTATTCAGTTTGCTAAGTGCACAGTTCTAAAATTGAATATGGTTAAAATTTATCTTAAATTGTATTTCTGGCCCTTTTCATGTCAACCAACCTTTGATTCCTCCTACTGGTCTCATCTCGTAAAACAGAACAACGTAGTTTTGCAGCTGGTGCAGTAACACGAAATACCGAAACGTTTGCTTCCCCGGTACCTAAAGCTTGTCACCTTGAATCAGAAAGTGTTTTTACGGATCTCACTTTTAATGGCAGTCATTCTAGAGTGCATTACTGACTGTGGGTTGTTTATTCTTCTGGGACATTCAAGCTAATCGTGGTGCGTGTCTGGCAGTGAGAGTCTTTAGAACCCAGGAGGGATGCTGAGCAGACAGGGAGATTTCCCTCCCCCGATGTCCCCATCTCCTGGGTTAACTTGTCATTAGCCACGATGTAAACATCAGTCTACACTTAGAGACTCTAATCTGCAATCAGGAGGCGGCTGTGCTTGTTGATTACTGATAAAGTGGAACGATTTCACTTGACCTTTCTGCCTGGATCCTAAAAGGCCTACATCCTTCATCTCCCAAATATATCTCAGGGAGGGAAAATCCGTACAAATATGACTGTTGGTTTGGAAAAGTATTATATTAAGACGTTTATGTGAACTGATAATTGAACAGGTATGACTTTTTTGGAAATTTATGTAAAACATAATTTTCTCTCTAATTCCCTAATACACTTATTTTTTCTCCCTCTCTCTTTCTCTCTCTGTCTCTCTCTCTATATGTGTGTGTATGTATGTGTATATAAATATAGGTATACATATAGATGGAAGTGTGAATGTAGATATACAGTTATAGACACAGATACATACTGCATATATATGCATACATATGCATGTATATATTTAGGAGTATTCTTTCAAATTCTGAGAGTATTTAAAAAAAATTAGAAAAGTAAATATATAAATGTCTTAGTGACTAGTGACCCCTCCCAGTCGGTAATATATTTTATTGGTATTTCTAGATACTTTTCTTTATGCATAGATTTGGATTTCTTTTTACATTCCTGTAGTTGTGAATATAAGGAGATATATCTTCCTATTTCACTTAACTTTATTTCATAAAATATGTGTTTATTTTATTGCCAGACGTGTGATGGCGTCAGGCATCGTATGCCCAGCTTTCTTGGCCCTGCACCTGGTATCACTGTTCCGCTCGCGATTCCATACAACACTGTAGTGAAAGGTTTCCTCCTTACGATCTTTCTCTGTTGACAGCTGCTTTCTTAAAACAAATTTCTGAAAGTTAGTCAGGGTGGAACAATACATAATTCCATACAATTTTTTTTTTTTATTTTTTGACATCTGAGAGATATGCAGCACTTATGAATATGCTTTTGCTTGCATCGACATATTCTGAACTGATTGTACATTATAACACTATTTCTGCTAATTTTTTGAAAACTATATTCAAAATTTTTACTTTCTAGAAATGGAAAAAGTGACAATGAAAGTATTTTAAGTAAGCATGAAAAAAACAGAATCCTCTCACCCAGACCTTGAAGGCACGCCGGTGGTTTGGTTGTTCTGTGATATGTTGCATGCCAGAAGCTTAGAAAAATGGTGCTTCTTTAGGAATCAAATCCTTCAGGAGATGAAACTGCCATGCGGTTTTTCAGTAAAGCATCAAGAAATCAATTTGTTGAAGTACTTTAACCCTATGGATAATTTATCTCTGTAGTATTTAATTTGGATAACTTGGATTTCAATTTGACATGACAGTTGGTTTGTAACACAAAATTTTCCAAAGAGGGCAGTATGTAAATAGAAATATAATTATATATTTGCAGATCCTGTTAACAATCTCTGGATTCCATATCCAGTTATTTGGCGTTATACATTTTTTTTTAAAAATATTCAATTTGGAATGATTTACAATAAAGAAAGAAGAATGCAAGTCATTAAAAAAATCATAGTTCCAGATGTCTGTTTGGAAATTTGGTTTTATGATATGTCTATCCTTTTTATTTCCAGGCAATGGCTCAAGTCTGAAGATATTCAGAGAATCTCACTGCTTTTTTATAACAAAATACTAGAAAAAGAAGTAAGCTATTTTTTTTCTTCAAAATCAATCGTTTTTTTCTGAAATAGTAGTTTTGAATTCTTCATGAAATTGTGCTCGTGTTATTTACATGTGACATTTAAATTGCCTCTAACTTTATCAGAACTCTTCCTGGCTTTTCCTGTGGTTCTTTCATGTATATATTGTCTTGTATTTCTGTTACCAGGTTTTTGTCATTGGTCAGTCACCATTCTCAACCCTCCTGAGAATAAATGAAATTTGCATTATGTCTGAGATAAGAAGAATAAAGGAAAGAGACAGGATCTAACATCTGACTTTCTCAATGTGAAATTTTCTCAGTAAAGTCTTTAAAAGAAAATGAAGCCCTTTCTGATAAATTTACAATGTCTTTACACAAATTATTTTAATATTTTGCCAAAAATATGAGTTTTACACTCTATGCCTTTTCAGGAGAATTAGAAAACCCAAAATTTTAAGTTTTGTTGCATCTAAATAGTTCCACATTATGACTCCCCAAATAAGATCGATTTTGGGCACAAATAAGTAAGCAGACATTCAGGTCTTACATGTCAAGCTTAGTATGGGTTTGCTTAAATGAATTAAGTTATTATTGCAAAAAGGACAACCATTCTTCTAGCTCAACTATATTTTATCACCTTTTCTGTTGTGTTGATCTAGAGAAGGAGCAAGAATTAGAGGTAATTTCCATCATCCAACTATATAATTACAAGCTTAGTTGGAAAAAAAGTTATTATATTAATGGCAGCATTCACAGCTCTGGTATTAAAATTCTGTTGATAAAATTCAATGCATTGTTTATGAATATTTAATGGAAATACTAAATACAAGAATTTCTTCCAAAATTCATTAGGGTTAGTTTTAAGGCACAGTAAAACTTTCTTTTGTGTTGGTGGCTAAGAGAATCAATTCCTTGTAGAAGCCCATTTCCTTTGTTAAAAACCACAGTGAAATTCCAACTCATATCCCTGCACAAAGCCATAAAGAAGTTGAAAGATAAGGATATAATTGAATGCACAGAGTGCAGTCACATTCCAGCAGTTACACTACTGTAGCTTCTTCAGCAGCATATAAATTATCCTGGCTATTATTCCCTTCCTTGTAGAAGCCCATTTCCTTTGTTAAAAACCACAGTGAAATTCCAACTCATATCCCTGCACAAAGCCATAAAGAAGTTGAAAGATAAGGATGTAATTGAATGCACAGAGCGCAGTCACATTCCAGCAGTTACACTACTGTAGCTTCTTCAGCAGCATATAAATTATCCTGGCTATTAAGTCACAAAATTTACCAAAAAAATTCTAGTAAACAGAAGGTGATCATCATTTTAAAAATGCAGTTTTACTTTAATTCCCTTTGAGTGCATACTTGTAAGATGCCAACTTTAAGGCAAATTTCAGAGAGCATCAAGATTCAGGCTCAGTTTTTGTCCACCTATCCCCAGCCTGCTCTTCAGACCAGCAGGACAAAGGCGGTAAGACATATCTGAAAAGAAGCATCACAGAGCCATTGGAAATCCATCATTCAGCGCCAAAACCCGAGAGGCTAACACCCGAGAAATATGTACTTTCCTCCCATAATTTGAGAAACAGTCTAGGCAAATATAGCTAATAGAACCTGACAGTATTTTCAAAGAGTTTCAAGGGCATTGTCACGAAATTTTATTTCCTTTAATCTTATTATAAAACCCTGTTTTGAGAGGCAGTGTAGCCTCATGGTTGGGTATCTGAGTTCAGGAGCCTGGTGAGGATGTTGGCTTTCCCATGTGCCAACTGTGTCTCCCTGAGAATGGAAATCAATCATTCTGGCCCACAGGTCCTTCATCCAAAAATAGGGACAGTATGTCTGGTGAGGCTATTGTAAGGATTAAATGAGTTAGTACATGTAATGCACTTAGAGTGCCTGGCACACCTTCAGGGCTATATGCAGCAGAGTATTATATTATGCTATATAATGTTATCATCGTTATATAGTACAGCATTGTCTGGCTTTTTTATCCTGCATGAGTCAAGCAGGGCCAGCCCCACATAGGCAGCTAACACCGGTCAGCTGATGGCCCTGGGTGATACAGACGACTGTGTGGGCCCCGGCCGACTGCCCTGGGGGGAGAATCAGGAGGGATGTAAGAGTCTGTCAGGCAGGCTGAGAACAAGCAAACTGAGAACAAAGCTGGCAGGGCTTTCCCATCTTACATCTTTGCTCACCACCTTTAAGTAGCACTGAGATCAATAATAAAATAAAATACTACAATAAATGAATATGAGGTCAGGACAAGGTTTTTCTTTGGCAAAGATGGAGGGGGTGGTGATTTGAAGGAGGTGTTGGACAGGGGGTTTTGCCCTGCTAGTAATATTAAAAGATGCCCAGATGATTTTTAGGACATTTAATCATTTCTGATTAAACTTCTTAGTAATCTAAGAATATAATTATATTTAACATAATGATAAATATCTAACAGCCAATAGTATTTCTGTTACAATGTTAGCAAGAGAAGTCCAAAGGTATTCCAGATTGTCTACATAAGCAGAATCCAATTCAACTCAATTCTAACTATATTAATCTGGTAAAGACTGGTTCAAACAGATTAAACCATTGCAAATTTCTCCATATAACCTTAAGTTAATCCAAATAATTTAAAATTGATCCAAACTATCTCTTTGTACAATTAACATCTGACCTTTAAAATTGAGACTATTATCCCTTTCTTATAGATAAAGACATGCACAGAGAGACAATATAGAATAGAAAAAAAAAAGAGAGAGAGAGAATAGTGAAAGTTTTTGCTTTGGAACACCTAGCTCTGTTACTTTCTATGAACCTAGATGCATGACTTAACCTCTCGAAACCTCCTCTCGTAAAGGGGTAAAGCAATAGAGAGCTCTTCTTGGCACCTGTGCTGCAGTGATGACTTGGAGATGTTGGCTGGTTTTCCCTTGTACGTCTGGCCTCTCAGAGCTCTCCAGCTTCCAGCCACACAGATGGAAGGGTGCATGGAGAATTTATATCCTCTCTTTCCTGTCTCACATTCCCATTGGCAAAACCTTTGTCACATGGTCCCAAATTAATGGCACAAGACCTAGAATATGCCCAGGAAGAGGAACCTGTGAGATGGACACATACCACTGTCTGTGTCCCCTCCACACTGAGGTGCATGCTGAGGGAGGGTTGGTGACAACTACCTTTGAGCTTTTTATAAATGAAAGACATAGCACGCGTCTGTGTCTGTCGTCATTCATTCAGCATTATGTATGCCAGATTGAGTCATATTTTTATATAGCTGTCGTGTTCATACATTTTTATTGCTGTACGATATCGTGGTGCATGAATATGGCACAATTTATTTATCTACTACACTGTTAATGGATATCGAGTTGTTTCCAGTCTGGGTCTATTACAAATAACTCTGCTGTGAACCTTTTTTATGTCTTTTGTTATACATATGTAACCATTTTTTTTGTAATATAAATAGGCATGAAATTACTGGATCGTAGAGTATGTGCATATTCAACTTTAGCAGATAATGTCCAGCATTTTCCAAAGTGGTTATAGCAATTTACATACCCAGCATCAGCGTACAAGTGTTCCAATTGCTCCACATCCTTGCCTGCATTAGGTATTAAATTTTAGCCATTCTGAAAAATAAATAAATAAGCAAAAATAAATGAATATATCTTGCATTTCCACAATACTGCTCACAAGTAAAATATGATTATGCGAAGTCATTCCTTTTCCCCAAATAATTGTAGACATCCGACCCACAAGGGACCCAGGGCACTGACCATTCATTGGTCCCTTCAATTCACTCACTCGGCTTTCTGGTCAGGCGCCTGCTCCTTCCTGGAGTGATTCAATTACATATAAATGGGTTTCAGAATGGCTCCCCTCATAAATTGCAGTCTTTGGAAGTCAATTCTTCACAGTGCATTTGGAGGGAGGAAGCACTCATGGCTGAGATGAACGGCCGTTGTCCTTGGCTTGTTTTCGTTGCAATCTACAGTTTCTGAGTGTGATGCGTGCCCTGGGTGCAGCTAGGCTGCGGGGTAATTGTATGCAGCTCTTTTCTAGAGAAGTGTCATTCATGGTTTCCTTTTTTCCCCCCTAGTACCGAGCCACCGCACTGCCAGCGTTCAAGTACTACGTGACTTGCGCTTGTCTCATTTTCTTCTGCGTCTTTATCGTGCAGATTCTTGTATTACCAAAGTAAGTACTATGGCTTCTGTTGGTGTTCCCACCGGGTGCACCTGCCCAGTTATATTTAAGCGTATGGAAGGGTGCTTCCATACGCTGAACAGAGGGGCTGTTTAACAGGTCGTGGCGAAGGCGGACAGGTGGGCAGTCAGGATCCCAGAGGTGAAATGGTCCCCATGTGTCTTGCTTAGTTATAATAATATTGGATTTTCAAAGTGGACATGTTGAGTCAATGTATAAGGATGCTTTAAAAATAAATCTAACCTTCTTACTTTTATCTTGGTTTTACTCAGATGCCCAGTCCAGGAAATGTAGCCCAATAAACTTTGCCCACAAAGAATGCAATCACTAGATGTTGTTTCTAATAAACAAATAATATTTTTGTATATTGAAAGGGCAAAACCTACACTGGGCACTCTGTACCCACCCGTCCATTTGTTTCCAAGTTCTGTAAGTTACACCTCCCTCTGTTCCGCCTGGCATCCGCTCTCACAGCCGTCTGATTATTGCAGGTCGACGTCCAGCTGGCCTCTCCCAGGAGAGACCTGGGTGCAGGGGGAGATTCTGGGCAAACCGGATTCTACGCTGTGGGCTGGACTCCTTCTGGTTCCACCTATGGGTGAAAAACAATGACTGTATGATTCCTAGATAATCTTTCTCTGGCACCTTCTTAGCGAGTGCCATACAAACCAAGTGACTTTCTTCAAAGCAGGTGATTCTCCTTTGACAATCGAAAGAAAAGGAAAAGGAAACTACTGTCCTTCTTACAATAATTGGGGATATAAAAAGAAATTTTACGGTAGATTTTTTTTCCCTTATTGGTGTCCATTTTATAAAGGCCAAAGCAATCATTTCAATCCCAAGAAATTCGGTCATGTGCTTGTATTTAACCCTCGTGGTGCAGCCAGCACTCGTGGGCAGCTTGAACTGCCAACGTAGGGTTGTTTTGTCTCGTGAAGATGCTGAGCGAACTAGAAAGAAGTGGTCTGTCTTTCCTCCTTTATATTCCAAAGGATTTTCTTCTGGGCACTGCCCCAATACAAGGCATTTGTAGAAGTAACAACGAGTCAAAGTGTTGTTCGTGTCTGTGTATTCCTTAGTCATCTGCCCCCTTTTAGAAGGGGTCCCCGTTAGATTTCCTTCTTCCCCATGAATTGGAGTTGGAATACTTGGGCCAGAAGAAACCCTTTTTCAAGACTACAAAATTTTCAGTGAAATTTCCCAATGTTAACTTATCAGTTTTCCATCCGAAAAGAATGTTAAATTAAGCTCCTTAGTGCCAGACCTGTACCACATGGTACGGGAGAGAAACAGCTGTCCCTGCACACACAGGCTCACAGACAGGCAGAGCAGAAGGGCGCTTGAAAAGTTACATGGGCAAAATAAGTTAGCCCGGGAAACGGGCCCTTATTGCTACTCCTAAGTAGATACATTTATTCATTTTTTTACATCTTCCTATTGGATGAACATTTGTATATTCTTAAGTAATACAGGGTCTGTCACCCACAGGAAGGAGGAGTGAGAGGGGAAAGTGACTGTGGGACAGTTTAAAAAAATGCCTCCCAAGAAGACAAAGAGATTTCCTGGGAGCAGGAAGACGTTTCATGGGATTTTAATTGGAAGACACACATCGTGTCATGGCTTTGCTGTCTTGGCTTTGATTGCCTTGTCTGTCTTCTAGTGTGTTGTATCTTCATGGGGACCCGTGGAAGTCCATTCTCTCTGGCTTCCTTACCCGTTATGTTTGTTTTTCTCTTGAGCAAGTTGGATTTTGAGCGTGAGTGTTGTGAAATCCAGCATGTCGCATCCCCTCTCCCCATTGGTGGGCGGAAAGCTTGGAGTAGTGAGGTGGTGCCCTCCCCTAACAGAGTTTCAAGACCTGCACTTTCTGCCCCAGCCTCATACTTCTTGCATGATTTCCTCGTCTTCCCCCATTTTTCCTTCATGTTAATGTCTTCATTTTTAAGTTATCTTCTAAAAAATTTTGCTATGAAGTATTTCGAAGATATAGAAAAGTACAGAGTGTAATATAATAAACAAGCAGGTGTCCAAAATCCAGACTTTGCTAATGTTAATTGTGTGTCCTGCTTACTGTGGACACGCTTTCACACTCTCAAAACTGTTACTATTTGGGTATGCTTCCTTGAAACAGCATCTATTTTTATTTTTTTATTTATTCAATCTAATATCTTTCTTCTTATTAATGTGACTTTATTTTATTTGCATTTTCATTTTATTTACTGTAAGTATTTTCATTCTATTTACTGATGTGTGTGGGCCCACTTCAACCTTTTTATTTTTAGTTTCATTTGCCTTTCATTAGGATTAATCAAGGATTAATCAAGTTATTTTAAAGGATTAATCAAGTTATTTTATTCTTTTATTTTTTTACTATTTAGGAAGTGCATTTTTTTTCTTGTTGATTGCCATTACAATTCATAGAATATATATGCTATGTATTTTTCTTTTAATGATTGCCATTAAAATTTTAACATATATTCTTAATTTAATAAATTCTAAAGTTAATCATAATCTCTCTCCTAAGAAGTTACTTCTTAGAATTTTAGCTCTGGATGGTAGTTATAAGTTAATATTTATTTAAATTCACCCATATTCTTTACCAACCTATTTGCTCATGGGTGCTTTTTAAAAATTATTTTTTTCTTCAAGTTTATTTTCTTTCTTACTGATGTGTCATTTATCTGTTCTTGTATTTAGAGTCTGTGAGTAAAAAGCAATAGCTTTTCATTTTTTCTCTGTATTAAAATATTTTCATTTGCTTTATTTCACATCTGTTCTTGAATAATAGTTTAATTGGGTATAAAATTATAGGTTAACTTTGATTTTCCCCCAGTATTATGATATTATCCCATTACATTTTACCCTCTATTTCTACTAATAAAATGTCTTCTGTCAGTCTCATTATATTCCTTTATAGGTAATCTATATTCCTCTCTGGTGCTTTTAGATATCTTTTTTATTTTGGTGGATTTTTACTATACTGTTTATAGATGTGTGTTTGTTCTCATCTGCCTAAGTGACTAGGTGTGATTTTTCAAACTGAAGACTCATATCTTAGCTCAGTTCTTGAAAAGTTCTCTATCTCCTTACCTGTTGCTTCTCTGCTATTTTCTGTATTCTTTCCTCCTGGAGCTCTTCTTAGCTATACATTGTGTTTTTCATTCTGTGCTCCCTCTGGGTCTCATAATTTTTTTCCAAGTTTCCACTTCTTTGTTTCTTTATGCTGCATTCTGGTAAATTCCTCATCTACATTGAGCTTATAATTTCAGTGATTATGTTTTCATACTAAGAGGTCTATTTTATTCTTTTTAAGACATGACTTTTTTGTATATATAATTCTATATTTTTCCTATGGATTCCATTTTTTCTTTTCCTTTACCTGCGGATTTTAAACATTACATGAAAATATCACTTTTTTCATTCTGTTCCTATGGTTCATAAATAAGTGAATTCTGCCATTTAGTCTATTTATGTATTCTTTCATGGTGGAGCATTATGTGTAATTTTGCCTGCGAGTGCATCGACAGCAAGGATTTTGGCCCATGGTAATCTCATATGTTCTGAGCTGTAAAGGCATCACTATGGGATAGTTTTCAGTGTATCTTTGCAAGATACCTCTGAGACTCACCAGTTGAAGTCACAATACTTTGTTAAATCCTTAGGTCAAGGTTCTTGCCTAAATAGGTCATGTAATTTGGGTCAGCCCTGACTCCCGGCACAAAGCAGGGTTAGGAATCTCGGTTTTCAAAAATGACTTTTCTTCTCATGACCTCAGTCAAATAGTTATCTTCCCTGAACATTGCCAGGCTGGCAGAGTTTTTCTGTTTTCTGTTTCCTGGTAGGACAGCACTTCCTCACTTCTGCCTTTAGTCAAGAGCTCAGTTCCAATTTCTCATGAATCAGATGCCCGAGAGCATCCCCCTACCTTGGGGAGACGTGAATCTTACACCTACAGAACCCATCAGCCTCTGGTTTCTCCCGGCCGTTTCGCACCGGTGCCTCTCAGCATTCTGCTTTTGAATAACCTCTGTGCATCTAGTAATGTCTCTTCCTTGCTTACAATTTCAACTATTTAAAAAATAATGCTGTTATTTTTATGAAGCATTTCTTTTGGAATACTGGTGCTTCTCACTTCTGCTGACATACCTTTACTTGTTTTCTTAACTTGCCGAATTATACTTTTGCTTTGTTTTGTTTATTTTCTTTTGGAAAACTGCCTCATTTTTTTTTTTTTTTTTGGAAAAGGGAAAAAATGATTACATGAGTGAGAAAATGAATGAATGAATAAATAATAATAAGGGAATTTGTTACCTGGAAAAGACCAGTAAAGGGAAATGTTTTCCTGCAAGAGGACCCTACACCATCTTTATTCAGCCCATAATTTTTAAATCTGGCTCTAGTCTCAGAATTTGAATAGATGTATTAAATTATGAGTTGGCTCCTCGTTTTGGAGTTGTTCTCTCACTCTGTCTTCCCTGTGGTATAACTTTGTCAGAGATGTGAACTACCTTCAAAGACCAAAATGACCAAGCATGAATTGTTCTTGCATTTTTTAGTAGTGTCATCCATACCGTCTGCCAAACTAAATGTGTTATGTTAAACTAGGCATGGGGGTAATTGTTAAAACAAGGATGAATGTTTTCTAATAAAGTTTAGTATAATATCATGTGTTTCATTAGCCCAAGTTAAATTAAAAATAATAATATGTCACTTAAAAAAATTAAGAGCTGGGCATAGTGGCTCATGCCTAGAATTCCAGTGACTCAGGAGGCTGAAGTAGGAGGATTGCTTGAGCCCAGGAGCTCCAGGAGTTTGAGACCAGCCTGGGCAACACAGTGAGACCCTGTCTCTATAAAAATAAAAAAAATGAACTGGATGTGGTGGTGTATGCCTATGTTCCCAGCTGTTTGGGAGGCTGAGGCAGGAGGATAGCTTCAGCCCAAGAGTCAGAGGCTGCAGTAACTGATGATCGTGCCACTGCACTCCGGTCT